ATTTGAACTCACAAAGATGGGTCTTCCTGACTCTATGCCCAGTGCACTATCCATTGCGCCACTTAGCTGCTCTAGAGATATGCATAGCCAAGCAAAACAAATTCACAGGTATCCATGTCCATTAGTTTGTACAAGTCTTCCTAGGTTTGTTTTTTAATTGCCCCTTCTGTTACTTCTTTTAGAAAAAAATATACTTTTCTATTCATAGACCATGTGTTCAGCCTTTCTGCAAATGATGGGCACCCCATTCTGTTTCTAGTTCTTTACTAAAAAAAGAGCAGCTCAATAATAATAATAGCAATCATAATAAATAATGACTACTACTACTATCACTACCTCTACTACTACTACTACTATTACTGCTACTGCTATTACTACTGCCACTAGTACTATTACTATTAACATACTATTGCTATCAGTGTTATTATTACAATTACTACTACTATTACTATCACTACTGCTACTACTACTACTACTACTACTATTATTACTACTAGTGCTGTTGCTGCTGCTGCTGCTACCACTTGGCACTCGCTAGCTGTGTGACCCTACTACTTCTGCTACTACTGCTACCATTATTACTACTACTACCCAGCATTTCTATAGCACCTACTATGTGCCAGGTCCTATGCTAAGTGCTTTACCAATATTATCTCATTTTATCTTTCCAATATGCCTGGGAGGAAGATACCATTATTATCCTCATTTTATAGATTAGAAAACTGAGTCAGACAGACGTTAGGGGACCCTAGAAAAAGTCACATAGTGAGTATGTGAGGTAGGATTTGAACTCAGGTCTTTCTGACTTCAGGTCCAGTGCTCTGCCATTTGCACAACCACCTGCCTTGTAGAGTTCTCATGCACATGAGAATTTCTGTACATGTGCGTCCTTTCCCTCTTTCTTTGATCTATTGTAGGTTTAGACCTAGCAATGACATCACTAGTTAAAGAATGTGCACAGTTTAGTGATTTTTTTGAGCCACAGTTTTCAGGAAGGCTGGACTAATTCATAGCTTCACCACCAGTATATTATTGTGCCTACTTTCCATCAGCCTTTCCAATATTTGTCATTGTATTTTTTGTCAGCTTTGTCCATCTGATGAGTATGAAGTGGAACCCCAGCATTGCTGTAATTCCCACTTCTCTAATTACTAGTGATTTATAGCATGTTTTCATATGGATGTTGATTAATTGGATTTCTTCCTTTGAGAACCACCTCTTCATATTCTTTAATCTAATGGAGAATAGTTTAGGGTCTTATAAATTTGAATCAGTCTCTTATGTATCTTGGAACTGAGACCTTTATCAGAGAAACTTGTTGCAAACACGTTTTCCCCATTTAGATGTTTTGCTTTTAGTTTTGGCCACATTGGTTTTGTTTATGCAAAATCTTTAGAATTTTATTTAATCATTTGTCCATTTTATTTTCTGTGATGCTCTCAGTTTCTCCTCCTCTATCTGTAGATCTGAAAGGTAATTTCTTCCTTTTCCTCCTAATTTGTTTGTGCTATGACCTGCTGGTTCTTCCTCCGGGTCATACTCATTAACCAGGGATGTCCTCCATTTCTGAGATCACTTTCTGTTGCTGACACTGTGTACCTCTCATATGCACCCACTCACTGACACGCCATCTCCCACGTTAGAACATGATCTTTGTGAGGGCGCTGTTTCTGCCTTCCTTGGTATTCCCTGCACTTACCCTGGTGTCTGGCACAATAAGCCCTAATAAATATTGGTTGACTGACTTTTATATTTAGGAGCTAATGCAGACTTTAGAAGCCACACGTGAGAAAGTATGTTGTCAGAAAGCAGTAGGGAGCCAGGAAGGCAGTCCATAAACATTTATTAAGTGTCTACTGCATTCTAGTCACTGCTCTAAGTACTGGGGATATAAAAAGAGGAAAAAGGCAGTCCCTACCCTCGAGGAGCTTACAGTCAGGTGAGGGAGGCAGCACTCAAGCACACACAAAGCCAGCTCTATGCGGGATAAATGGGAACTAATGGACAGGGAAGGCCTGGAATTAAGAAGGCTTGGGGAAGGCTTCCTATAGAAGGGGTGATTTTAATTGGGACCTACAGGAAGCCAGGGGGTTCAGTAGGTGGAGTGGGGGTAGGAGAGCATTCCAGATAGGACGACCAGAGAGTGGAGTTCCTTGTGCATGGAACAGCCAGGGTGCCACAGTCACTGGGTCAGAGAGTACCTATTGGGGGTTGAGGTAGGAGGGGGCGGGTTAGGAAGGGCTTGCAATGTCAAACACAGAGGACAGGGAGCTTAGTGAGCAGGGGAGCAGGAAGAGACTGGAGGCAGGCAGACCTCCACAACTACAGCAATCATCCAGGTGTGAGGGGATGAGGGGCTGCACGGGGTGGGGGCAGGGTCAGAGGAGAGGAGGGGGCGTATGCGAGAGATGCTGGGCTGGTGAAATCAACAGGCCATGGCACCATACTGGAAATGGGGGGGAGGGATGAATTCAGGATGACACTTGGGTTGTGAGCCTGAGGAACCCATGCCCAGTAGAGTCCGATGTCAGAAAAAGGGGATAAACTTTTGGACCTGTTGCACAAATTGACATTTTTGTTTTTCTTGTCAAGTGGTTGTCAGTTGTGTCTGACTTTTCAGGAGCCCATTTGGGCTTTTCTTGGCAAAGATACTAGAGTGGTTTGCCATTTTCTTCTCCAGCCCATTTTACAGATGAGGAAACAGAGGCAAACAGAGTGAAATAACTTGCCCAGGAGTCTTCCTGATTTCAGACCTGACAGTCTATCCACTGGGCCATCTAACTGCCCCACAGATTGGCATAGGGAACTGCTAGGTGAAGAAATGCCCTCTGCCGTTGTAGGTTGATGCCTTTTCTCAGGCAGCTGTGTGGTACATTGGACAGAGCATTGGAATTGGAGTCAGAAAGACTGGAGTTCAGACCTAGTCTCAGTCACTCGCTAGCTGTGTGACCGTATCGGCAAATTACATCACTGCTGTCTGCCTCGGTTTCCTTAACTGTAAAATGGGGATTATTATCCTCGCCTACCTTGCAGAGTTTAGTGAGGATCAAATGAGACAATATTTGTAAAGTGCTCTTAGCACAGTGCCTGGTACACAGTAGGCACTAAATAAAAGCTTGTTCCCTTCCCTTCTCCCTTCTTGTGGGGATAAAATGAGATAATTCTTATGAAGTGCTGTGTAAACCTTAAAATGTCATCGAAGTGCTAGTCAGTTATGATTTTGTGATTCTGCAGATATGTTTTAGGGAAGCATGTGACTGTTCTATCCTAAAGGCAGCATGAAAAGAAAGAGATATATTTACAAATATTCTCAATTGCTTTGTATGAAGCAAAAAACAAACCAAAACGCAGTGAGTTTATTTGTCCGGCCTTTGCGAGAGTGCCTGAACACATCACAGGCCGCTTCCCCTTTGTGCTGTGCCGTCTGTAGGCTCATAGGCCTGGAGCTAGGAGGGACCTCTGAGGTCATCTGGTTCAGGTTCCTTGTATTGCAGATGAGGAAACTGAAGCCTCACACAGGTATTAAGTAACAGAGCTGGAGGCTGAACCTGGTTCCTCAGGATCTAGAACCAGTGTGCTATCCCTGGTATCACGCTGCCAACCTTTAATGCTATTAAGCATTATTACCTTTTTAGTTGGTCTACTAAGTATGGAAAAACCCAATTTTTGTTCTGATTTACACGTGTTGGATTTTGCTTTGATAAAATGTATGATAATAACATCTCTTGGCTTAGTCCAGTGGTGGAAGGAGCTTTGACTGCCCTTACCAAGACAAGTCATTGCCCCATGGCTCTGTCCCCTCTGCTCAGAACATACCTCGTGGATTTTGTCCTGTTCTGTTTGCTATATTTAAAACAGAATACACTGTCAAACTCTAGCATGTACCATGGAAGGCCATGGGGATGGGGCAGTTACCCAGAGCCATGTTGTTAAATGCATGGTCACAAACTAAAGGAATTTGAGAATTGCCACGGACCTCAGCGGTCATCCAGTCCATCCTGTACCTGAAAGGAATCTCCCACTATGACCCACCTGAGCACTGGTGTTCCAGCTTCTACCTGAAGAGCTAGGCAGACCATTCCACTTGGGGATGGCTCCAATTATTAGGAAATTTTTCCCGACATCTATAATGGCCTCTTTCTAGCTCCCACCACTTGCTGGTTCTGCCCGCTGAGGCCAAACGGAACAAAGCTAATCCCTCTTTAGCATGACGGGTTGAAGGAGGTTGTGTTATTTTGTCTGGAGAGGAGAAGACCTCAGAAGGCCCATTGCTACCTTTGAATAATGGAAGGATTGTCTTGTGGCCAGTGGATTCGGCTTCATCTAAGTCTTCCAAACGCCCAAGTCCAGTCCTTGGTTGCCACACAGGGTAGAATTAGGATCAGATGTTTAGGGGCAGAATTTGGTTCAATGTAAACAGCTAATTGGTGCTTTCAAAAAAGTGAATTAATTGGCTTGTTAGATGATGAATTCTCCATCAATAAAAATATTTCAGCAGATGTTAGATGAGTGCCTGTCAGAGATAGTTGAAATGAATGAGGAGTTTGCCAGCTCAGTAATTTCTATGATACCATCTATCCCGAGAGCCTTGGATTCATCTATTTTACCCCTCCTCCACATCTTTTTTATGTAGGAAGAAACTGAGTCCCTGAGAGACCTGATAACTTAATCAAGGTGAAAAAGAACTGGATCAGAAACTATGTTTTTGACTTTCCAGTTCAGTGGTTTTTCCAAATTAAATCAAGTGGCATCTCTAGGATATTCCATTTCATGTGTTTTCTCAGGTCTCCTCCTCTCTGTGAATACCCATCATATCTATTTAGTGACTTGATGGGAAGAAAATAATTGAGAACTTGACAACATAGAGCCCCGTCCTCTCTGCTCTCCTTCCTCATTTCTTTGAACAACTTATTTGTAGGAGTTGAAAGTAGAGTTCAGAAGATTGAGTTTTTCACATTCATTGTACCCATATCTTGCTTTTTTCTCCCCTTCAATCCTAGACAAGATTTCACAACAGGTCTGTGTTGTCATGGACACAAAAGAAGATGCCGGATGCATAGGCTTTCTTCAAGGAGTGCTGAAAAAGGAACTGGAAGTAAGTCCTTGGCCTTGGAGTGGGTGAAATGTTGGTAAAACATGGTTTTGTTTTCCTTTGCAGCTCCTGCCCCCTCCTTCTGCTGAAATTACCTTAAAATCTTTTTGTATCTATTCTCTGTTTACTTATATAGACACATTTTGTTTGTCTGATAGACTATAAGCTTCTTGTGGACAGGAACTATTTCATTTTGTCTTTGTATCACATCTGTCCATGGTACCTGACGCACAATAGATACTTAAGAAATACTTATTTAAATGGTTAATTTAGTTAAACTACCATCACTAAAAAAAGACAATTTTTCTGTGGTTATTTAGATTAGGCTGTTTAGGTTTTTCATTTTCTATCTGACTGGGGAAGAGAAAAAAATATATCCTTTATTTTTCATGAAAAGATAAGCATCTCAGCTGAGTTTCAGTTTCAGCTCAAGGTTGGGCTAAATAGAGTTGGAAAGAGGTGATGAAATGGAGGCATTGGGAATGGAGATATGAAATGGAGGCATTGGGAATGGAGATATGGACTGGGGCAAGAGAATGATAGAGATGAAGGGAGTAGGGAGTGGAGCCCTAGTTGGAGAGGCAGAAGGCTGCTGGGCATGGTCTCACAATGACTCCTGAGTTCTGGAAGGGTTTGCCCTGTCCCTGGTCTGGAGAAGGTGGCATGCCCTTTGTAACTTTCCTGCATTTAGAGAGAGAGGTCATTGACATCTCTAGGCAGCAGGGCTAACGAGATGTCTTTCTGGGCGTGCGTGTCCATAACGTGGGTTTTGGTCTATGAGTTTAGCCCATTGGACCAAGCATAGGGCACCATATTTTTTTTGGCTAGGATCTTTGAGAGGAAGGGTGTCCCCTGTCCCTTAGGGTCTTCAAGCAGAGGCTCAATGCCCACTTTTGGGGGAGTCTTGAGAATTCCTCTTCGTGCACGCTTGGACCAGAGGGCTTCAGAGTCACTTCCAGCTTTGAGCCAGTTGGAAGAAACAGTTAAGATTTTTTTTTTTTTTTGCTTTGTGAGCTATGTGAAGGAGGCATCCCTGAGGACTTGGGTTTAGTCCTTTCTCCACCGCTTGCGATGTTTGTGAGCCTGGACAAGTCTCTCCCCATTGTGGACAGCGTCCGAGGTCCTGTCCAGCTTTAGACCTGTAACCTGACGGTGCTGACTGACTTTTCCCAGTCGATGCTTTAGGACTCATTGTGCTCGTGCCCTTTCATGTTGAAATCGTGCTCCTTTTGGAAGCAGTGATGGCCCCCGCCATCCAGCATGGAAGTGCACCTTTGCTTTCCATTTGACTGATGTTAGAGTTCCGTACCCAGAATGCCAGCATCAATCAGAAAATCTGAGTGCTCTTAGGAGCCCTGGTCAGAGCAGATGTGGAGCCCGAGCCAGCAGCCCAGGGTAGAGCTGCCACCCAGCAATGAGCCTAATACATGGAATGAAAAGCAGGGAGGAATATGTGAACAGCATCACATGTTTTCAGATCCCCCTCCTGAAGATAATGAATGACAGGCTTCGTCAGATTCTGAGGCCCTAGTGGACCCCGGTTAACCTTATTGGGTTAAAAAGAAACCATTTAATGCCTCTCCTCCAGAACAAAATGCCTCTCCTTTATATGACAAGCTACAGTCTGGAGGACAGAGCCAGCTAGGAAGACTTGCCTTTGGGTCCTGCCTCTGGCGCATACAGATTCTGTGAGTCCCTTCACTGTCTAATGCTCCAGGCACATCTGTGAGACTCTGAGGTGTGGACGAGAGGACAGTTCTGAGATCCACTCCCCCTCCCTGTTTGTTTTCTGTCTGTGTAGATGTGTATACTGTTAGGGCCTGACCAGGGTTCCATTTATGTCTTTCCACCATTGGCTCCCAACACAGTGACTGGTAAACAATAAGTACTTCATAAATGTTGGTTGGTTATAATGAATGGACAGGCATGATGAAAGCTAGCCTGTGATAACTGCTTCTCAGATCTTTGACTCCTCAGTGAGGGGCTGGAGGGACCCCAGAGGGGCTGTGTTTATTGGCTCTGGATTTCCTAGGGAATGAGTTACGTGGCAGAAATGTTAGAACAGCCTTCTCACTCCACTTATCTTTTTTTAAGGAGAGTGTAGAAAACAGGAGATGAACAGAGAATGCTGAAGGAAGGAGGGGAGGATTATGATTTGGCAGACAGAGAATGGCCTGTTCCAAGCACGGGGGATAGCCCGGAGGATCGTCAGTGGGCCAGGGATATGGGGAAGTTGCCTTTCAGTTTTTACCATTACTCGTTTTCTTTCTTTGTTTATAGTTTTTTTTTCAGTTATCTATCTATTTATCTATCTATTTTTTTTCTTCCCCTAACGTCCCCCTCCTCCCAAATTGAGGAAAAAAAATAAAATCCTCAGCCCTTTGCAGTGAGCTGGTCATTGGCCACATCTGAAACAGATCTGTCTTAGACTGCCCCTTGATGAGTCTGTCCCCTCCCCGTCAGGAGACAGGTAACTCATTTCATCCTCAGAACCATCCTTGGTCATTGTGTTGAGCAGAATTCTTGATTCTTTCAAGTTGGCCGTCCCAGTGTTCAACCAAGCTGATTGTCTCCTGTATTCTGACTGATATTTTTACTCCTTGGTGATTTTAACATGTTTGAGAGAGGGGGTGTGTGTGTGTATGAGTGCTTGTGTGTATGTGTGTGAATATTTGACTCTGTGTGTGTGTTTCGGGTGAAGGGGTGACATCACTGCTGTGGAAATCCAGTAACCTTCAGGGCAGAGATGGGTGGTGCCGTGTCATACAACGTATAATGGTTGGGTTGTTTTTCTTGGGGTGAATGAAAAGGGCTGGATGTAGTGGAAACTAAAGGCACTGGGGTTTGCTCACACTGAGCTGGGAAGTGGGGAGACAATTTAAAGGAGCAACTTCAAATCTCGTTTGCACGTTGGCCACACGGTGGATCTCTGGAAGGGGTTGTCGGCACAGCACAAGTTGAGGAGCTGACCAAGCATTAAGGCACACGTATACATTTTTTTTTCAGGCTACGAGGCCTTGTTATTTTTCTAGCTTTTGCTTCTTTCTCTTTTATCCCTTATAGAATGTGAGCTATTTTCCAGGACTAATACACTTGAAAGGCAGTGGTCGTCATACCTACCTAGGACTGGGACGCCTGGAAGCTCAGTCCCTTTTTTCATATCCCGGACAAATAATGAGTATGAATTACACAACAGAACAACACACTTAGTGTACTGAGGGATTGATCTAATGGGAAGGAGATGGCATCCACTTTCTCCTAGCTCGCTTCTTGAGGATGAAACACAATGGAGAAAGTGGTGTGGATTTTTAATGTCTCACCGCATATAGGTAATGAATTAAAAAATCCAGAATTTAAGAAGTGTTTTCAAGGACCATCTAGTCCCATGGTGTCAAACTCACGGGTCCAAAGCAGCCTTCTGGAGTGGAGCCTGAATCAGATTAAAATGTAATTGGGAAATGCTTAACAAAATAAATAAAAATACAGTGTAATACAGATAATGTTGATTGGTGGATTTTAAGTCAACATGTGGCCTGCAGAGATCCCTTTCTATTTGAGTTTGCCACTGTTGATCTAGGCCAAGTCATGCCTGCAGGAATGTTCCCTCTACAGCCCACCCACTAACAAGTTTTCTTGTGGTCCTCGATGTAGGAAGAACCACCACCTCCTTTCCTCTTCTGCTTAGCTCTAATTAAATTTGCCCTTACGTCAAGCCTACGCTTCTGCCTTGGTAACTTCTGCTCTCATCTCTCTCTCCTCTGACCCCCATGGGATGAGCGTTCACCAGGTAGCTTCTGGGCATCCGCATCAGCAGAGCCCGCCAGAAGTTCTTCACGCCATGGGCCTTTTGGTCAAGGCAGGTAAAACAATTCAGGGGGCTATGGACAACGAGCCCCCCGAAGGAAACAAGGGCAGCTCCCTCCTGAAAGAAGAGGGTACTGCTTAAGAAGCCTGGCTGCCTGGGTGCCGTTCATTTCCATGCTCTCTTGTTCGTTTGGGCCCTATTCATGCAGTGCAAATCTTATCAATTGCTTTGGCAGCCCACTCCTGACCTCCTCTCCCCACTGGTGCCAACGGCTTGCAATGGACTCCATTTGTGGTTTGTGGTGATTGGATGGAAGGCCACCAGGGATGGCTGAGGACCATTACATTAATTTAATTTTGGATGTTGGCAGGATCACTGCTCAGTTCTCCAGAGGTGAAGGAAGAATGTCCATCATTAGATGACGGAGCTTTGGAGGATGGTATTAATTAGGTTTATACTATAGTTAATAAAACCCAAACTTTACTATTACAAGTACTTGTCCAGAGTCTGGAATGCAATCATGAATGTGTATATCACAGAAGTTGTGTGCCAAGTGAAAGCCACAGGGGAGGTGCCTGGGGGGCAGTCCTCCTGAAACGTGGCCTCCTCTACGGCGTTTATTTTCACTGCATTAAAAATATCTCGACCTTTTGGACTTTATCTTCTCAAGGCTGTGGTCCAATGGAAAGACTGTTCTTTCTAAACAAACCAGAGAGTTAATTTGAAAAAGTCAAATTCTGTATTCATTGACATTTAGATATAAATTAGTTATTTCTAAGTGTAGACTAGTATGATGCTGATTTTATTTTTGGAAACAGAGATAGCACTAAACACTTTCTCTGCTTTGGTTCTATGCTAGACTTAAAAAACAAAACAAAAAACAACTTTTAAACCCACAGCAAAAATTAAACCCGAGGAATGGGAGTCTCGCCTCCCGGGGCCTTTTGTTCCTGTAAAATGAGGGGCTTGATCCCTTGGCCCCTGACGGCCCTTCCAGCTCGAGAGCCGTAATGTTGTGCTTCTCTGATAGGCTATTTGGGAACGGGATTTAAATTCCCCTGATTTTCATTGATTTAATGTAATTTCTGTATTTGGATGTTAATATTTTTATTTTTACCTTAAATATTTTATTGTTGCCTATTGTTTTTACATCACTGTGATTCCCAGATATACCACCACCAGGTGAGCCTTGCCTCTG